CCGGCCGGTACCGCCGCAACCGCTATGTCCCTGCATTTTAAATCTGTAATATCTTCGAAAATATTCATTTAAATTACATGCTGTAAAGGGCCATATTGATCTATATTAAATGCACAATGTATTTAAGGTACTTAATTGGATAAGAATTAATGCTGTATTGCTTAAAATAGCTTCGTAAATAAGTCATTATTTCTCATAAAAAGTAAAGGATAAAAAATGGTTATTGTGGGTTATCCTTAAGGGATAGACATATACCATCACGGAGTTTTTTGTAGACCTTTTTAATATGTACAATACTGTAGTACATTATTTTGATCTATCTCGTAGGGTTCAGCCAGCGTTTGCAATGAAAGCGCAACAAAATGTGTTTATTTACATCACATTAGAAACCTCTAAAATTATCAGTACTAGATTATGCATGTATTATACATATAAACCTTCCTCTTGAATCACTCTATTTTAAAAAAAAAACCCAATCAAAATCCGTTGCGTAATTTTAAAGATTTAAGCATACATAGGGACAGATAGCGGGATAGCGACTTTGTTTTATACTATGTAGTGATAGGTAAATATATAAATTGACTAGTAATCCTTACTTTATATTTACGCTATATATTATCTTATTAAAACTCTGATGAATCAAGTAAAACATCATAAAAGAATTGCATCTGCATAAAAAATCGCAATTCATTGTTGTATAAATAATCGACAACATGCTATATACTATCTCAGCTATAGGGATAGTATCTGTTGTGAAAAATTACCACCTGACTATGATTTTAAACCAATAATTACGAGAAAGGAAACAGAAGTCAACCGATAAAATATTCATGGTTTAGTAATGACCATTACGTAGGAAAACACCCACACATAAGCATACAAAACGCACATGCCCTAATACATGTAGATTCTACCCCTATGTGGTTTATTATATCATACTATTATAAGATTGTGTAAAGCTGTGAGGCATTAATAGTGTAAAAATAGATTTTTTGATCATCAAAAGAAATACTTTTTAACTCTAAAATAACATCCTGAACCAAAAACGCCTATATTTAAAAGACATGTATAGGTATACTGTAGGAGCCAGCGATTTCAACCCCTTAAATTTGCAACCCTCAAAAAAATAAGTAAAACTCCGTATTGTTCTCTAAAAGTTAGGAAACTATATGTACAACATAGAAAAAAATGGAAAATTACAGACAGGACCATTTTTCACGGTGAAAGGCTAAAATGACAATAACTTATTACTCATTTGAGCCAAAAACAATTACAGCTCTGTCATTCGTGCCGAAGGCCAGATGACAATAATGTGTCTATGTTTTAATTTTTAGTACCTCAAGAAGTTGTTTGAATTATCTTTTCTACAAAGGTGAATTATTCTCTTTTATGACTGTTTAGCTGTTCAACATGAACGTGCTCCCCGATCTATTCAAACAGGCTTTCACCACCATCATCATTACGGTTTAAATTTTACCTCAAAACTTCGAGGGATTCCCGGCAGTAATTTTTTTTCGCCGTTACAAATTCATTCATCGGCTATTTTGGAACCTGGGGCGCCTATAGTTCCAGCTCAATATCTGCATCAAAGTTTGGTATTTCCATCAATGTTGGGGGCATACCCGAAACACACCCTTTTCACCAATAACTTAAGTAACCGTTTTTCTCTTCATTTACAAAATTTGATTTCTATTATACACAAATTGACTTGTAGATACTACGAATATTTCATATTTACAATCTGCCTACACCCATCATCACAGTGGAACGCAAGGTGGGAGTTCTCCACTCTGTACAAGACAAAGTAGTAATAACAGAATAAATATAAAAGAAGATGAAGTTACTAGTTCTGAAGAAGCTAAAAATACTATGAGAGGTAAGGAAAGATTAGAATCAAACATCGTTTTCGGCCATTAGCCAGAAAAGAACGCATTCTGGTTTTCTATATCGGCCGGAAAAATAATTATGACTTTAACAAGTAGCCGATGATCAGAAGGCGTTTGGGCAAATTAGAAATGAGAATTAATTAGATTTTCGAATTATTTTGTTCGATTATGGTAACGTGCCTATCACGTTGAGGTTGGCTACGCCGGAGTTCGTTTTCAGCGAGTAGATATCCACACAAGTGGACCATGTTGAAGCATACGTAATCCTAAAATGTAGCATCGTGCTACAGATGGCGTTTACTGCGCCATTTGTAGTATTTTCTAAAACGCACAGTTAAGACAGCAGGTAAAAGTTAGTCTGTGTTCTGTCGAAGCTGCCTGCGACGCGCTGATGAGATCCAAAAAGATCGAAATCGCGATCCGCGTCTGGCAGTTTCGACATAATACAGACCACTTCGAATTATTTTGTTTGAGAATTTTAATATTTCACATATTTTTTGTAATATAACAAAAGGGAACTAAGTAGATGCAGACATTAAATGCTTTTTCAGAATCAGCATTAGAACCTAATTCACGTTTAGAACTTCCTACCATTGGAGAAAGTACGACAAAAAGTATTGTTCGATCGACAGACGCGTCTTGTATGTCGTCGTATTCGATAGAAAATATTTACGAATCAGCAGCAAAGTTACTTTTCCTGGCACTAAAATGGGCAAAGACAATCCCATCATTTTTGCAGGTTTGCTAATTTACTATTGAGCAGTAAATGATAATTTGATTGTAAAACTGTCTCGTTTTCTCGTTATTTTTGAGAAAGTCAGAATGTTATCGCAATTTTTTCCAGCTTTCGTGTAGAGATCAATCGATATTGTTAGAAGAAAGCTGGAACGAACTTTTTATTCTTACCGCAGCCCAGTGGGACTTACCTATAGACGAAAGTGAGTACTAATATAACATAATCTACATGAATAATTGTTACCGAACATGGTTTTGCACTTTTTAAAGATTTTTTAGTTAATAACGTTTCAAGACAAACAGCCAGAAACGAATTTCTAGAAGAAGACGCCCGCAAACTAAGCGACATCATAAACAGACTAAATCTTCTCCATGTAGATCATACTGAGCATGCGTGTTTAAAAGCATTAGTGCTTTTTAAATCAGGTAAGTAAATCATTTTCTAATAAATTTTTATTAATCAAGCACAATATTACAAATGCTCAAAAAATGAACAAGGGGAAACATTGAGAGGAATACTCAGGGACGTCTCCCTCAAATGAGATTTTTGTTTTTTTTTATTGCAAGTTGTAATTTAGATACTATAACGCAGTCACGTAAAAGAATTATTATTATTAAGTTAATTAATTAAAATTTTAATATTTAAGACGATGCAAAGGGTACATCGAGAAT